AGTGGGATTTAAACATGTCTTCCGGGGTGATAATTTGGTGACGTTCCTATCGGGTCACCACCGCCGCCGTCATTCTGCAGCGTTTGCAATGCTAATTAAATAATTATACAAAGAACTTCCGGGAACTCAACGAGTGTAACATATCACCCCAGATTCGCTTAAGAGATTCACTCAACACCTTTGCCTTGTCATGCCCCTCTTTTGGTTGTTTTTTTTTTACTCTGTCCGTGAACAACAGAGGAGTAGATAGAAGTGTTAAAAGCCGAGAGAAATATCAAGATGAAAAAATACAGCAAGCAGGTGCATCAAATACACGAATACCACAGTTTACGACATTTCCTCATATTAGACTGATCCCAATGTGCCTCCCCCCCCCCCCCNTTGAGTAACACCCGTGGGGTCCAGGTTTTTAGAGATTCATGCTTGGTCACGGTTTACCCACCTTTACCCTTCTTCCATCTACGGCCAGCCTCAGCGAACATTGTAGATTGAGGAAGCCTATTTGGTAGCGTGTGCAAAACATGTCCCAGGCAATGCAAATAATGGTTATCGGTGGGTGATTGTAATCACCCGAAAGTTGATTTATTGTCGATCTATTCCACCAAACTAATATCATGCAGCGTGGAGAGCGGTGTTCGAAAACTGATCATCCGTTCTTATCGTTTGACCGCAACGGCCATTCAAGTCTCCGCACCATATGACCTGGTGACGTTTGTATCGGTTGTGCTGTTTACTCACCAATGCGTTTGCACGTGTGACAGTCAATCATCGTGATTGTTGTGTGCATCTCCGTTAGACCGGACGATAGGGATTCAATCAATCACACACAACAGACTGGCACCGTCCGACAGTCTGTCTAAACACAACTGCAGAGATGCACATCAGCCTTATACGCTGAAAGGCTGCGTAAGAGTATATTGTGCGTTACTAACCGCATGGAAGAACCAAGAGTGGTACATATTTGCGAATGCATGTACGCTACACAAAACGTGTTCTGTTGAACTGTCGCCCGAAGAACAATAGAATCAGTTTCAGCTTTTCAGTTTTTATAAACATTAGCCATGCACTTTCCTGTGGCGGTTTAGGTTACTGTCGCATCACTGTCTCTTTAGATAAAAGAGTAGAAGATTGGAATGCTGAGTGTAGAGTCAAAGAAAACAATAACTAAATACTATTGCAATAAATTAGCTTCTGGACTACATCTTTGAGTATGACTAAAAAGGACAACCGAGAGAGACATTTTATTAATGCACACTACCCTTTATTACCTTTTAATATGCGTTGACTAAGAATCAGGAACGAGTGGCATTGTTTCATGAAATACCGTTTAGAAATGGTCCAGTTTCGGTTTCTATCGCCCCAATCGCACAATTCAAGCGCGCTAACTATTTAATAATGCATGGGTTCAAATCCCACCGGGGCTACTGAACTTTTCACAACCGCCATAGCAACTTCAAATCTGCCAAACATTCAATTGCACAATTAACCTTGTCTTAGATGCTCATTCGGTGAACTCCGGTGAATTCTAAGGAGAACCTGTCTGGCTAGTCAGCCTACATGCTAATTGGTGGATGCCATATGCCTCTGTAAGTTGGATGGGTAATTCAAATGTGAAAAGATCAGTGCTATCGGTGTGGCCTCGTAACTCAGCTGGTAGGGCGTGCGCGTACAAAGCGTAGGCAGCGTCCATGCGTGGGTTCGAATCCCACCGAAGCTACTGAAATTTTCACTATCGCCATAGAAACTTCAAATCTGCCAAACATCCATTTGCACATATCTAATAATTGCTTCTTGTGCGACAAACAATCAGGGTTAACCAGTTGATGTGATTGAGATTGAGTCCATTTCCTTGTGCACATTAAGTGACCAACGATAATGACTGTTGGTGATCATATCCTCAGATCTAATCGTTGTACTTTCAATTTATCTGCAAAGATTCTTTTTCATTTCGATGGCCTACACTTCTCACCACTGATCGGGTGAGGTGTTGTCATTCAACATTAACATCATCCACTGAGGGACCGAGAAATGTCGTTTAATTTTCTCTTTTTCCTACTGAGATCACAGCACCCTGAAATTCGCGAAAAACCTTAGATATTCTCCAATAAAACAGGTTTAATCTTCTGACTCTCAAGTGAATGTTCATAGCTTTTGGATCGGTTGGGAATGGCCATGCCCGATACCTGTGCGTGCAAAATCAGCGATATGTCATCATACGCGACGACAACGAAAGTATACTTCACTGTACATGTCATTTCACGTGTTACCTGCTCGGGTTTAGATGGGGATGTCAAAGTTTAAAGCAGCTTTGCAACATGCAAAGCTGAACGGACGAAAAATTCGACGGAAGAATACTGGTGTTAAGAAGCTGGGTAATGGTCTTTGAGGTTTTTACAATCAATTAAAGATCAACGTACGTGAGAAAATTCCTTGACGTACTGATCTGGCTCAGAGTTGTTCGAGGTAACACACGGAATTCAGAATGATAAAGTGATTAATTACATCACTGCTAAGAAATACGCACGTGGTTATCTCGCCAACCGTGTATATCAGATCACTCTTTCATGAAAAAAAAAACAGGTAAACGTAAGCAAAGGTCACAAAAGCCTGAACCGGACTGGACAGGAGGCAGTTACAACTTCGCCAAGGCACTAATAGGTTGGTGACGTCGTGTATTCACTTTTTCCCCACTCATATCATTTCAACTCTATTATTGTTGTTGTCGTTTTCCGATCGATCATCACAAAAGTCTAATTAGATTAGTAGGCTCGGATAAGAGAATCGGAGATTGCAAAGGCAAAAGAATGAGAGATTAGCAGAGCAGTAATAGCATCTGTCCATGGCTTAAAACATTTAGCAAATTATTAATATTATTAGGAGAACTGTCGGTAGGCGGTAGTCGCGTTTATCGGGTGTGCTTTTTGGGTCGACTGCTTGTTCCTAGTATTGGATGGATAGTTCGCATGGATTTATAATGCGTCGGGAAGATAAACCTAAACTTACATCCAACACTTTGTCACAAAATTTGTTAACTTGAGCAAAATAGGTATGCGGCCCCGGTAAATGGGCAGTGATCGGTTCGCCATTGTTCACCGCACGTGTAATACAGCCCAATAGTGTCTCTCGAGGATATTTCATTTCAACATTAAATCCCAGTTTAGTCGATGTTTGGCGGAAAGCCTCACTCAATTCTGGTAGCGGTTGACCATCCGGTCCATACTCATCGGGTTCCGGATCGTCCGATTTCAAGGCGGCCGGATGGATAAATCGACCACCTTTGGTCGGGCTTGAGCTGGGACTAGCCTCATAACCGAAGAGATTTCGCAGTTCATCCAATGAGTAGTCGACAATTAAGTTCTTTGTGTCTTTGGTAACGGGTCCGTCAGCTGGAGTGAAAATAGGGAAGATGTATTTGAGAAATATTAGTGCAAGCCGTTAGATGTCACATTTTTTCGATTAGTTGTATTAGTTTTACTTCCAAAATACAAAGTGCGAAAGGATGGAGGATCGAGAAAAACGCTGAGAACACAAGTGTAGTGATACTGATCATTCACGATCCCAGAGATTCCCGAAGGGATTTCGCACCTTTTTGGTGGAAAATGTTGCCGGGTGTTCAATGTTTCCGCACTAAAACCTGGGGTCTTGAAATTACTTACGACCGCCTTTTCGGCATGAGTAGTTGTGCAGTTATACATGAGTATATATGAACTCAGAAGTAAAAACATTTAGCATCATGCTCAATTTTACGAACGGTGTCTGTTTCTGTTTTTCTAATCGGATTATAGGATGAACACGACAGGTGGGCGCGTACCTTGAAACAAGCCTAAAATGCGTGTCAGCGAAACCAAATAAAGAACTAGTGTGCATAGCAATATATCTGGGATGGGTCAGTCGTCCCGAAGAACGGAAAATTGCAGTGGAGGTGCAGTGATTTATTCGCTGTCACTGGCGCTCTTTGGACCTTATGGTCAGGGGTTTGAACCCCACCACCGCCAATCAAATTTCGTGCTGAGCAGCTTTATTGTTGTCCGGTTCAATATCATGTCTATGTGCTTCACCAACACACGTCCGGGGCTTAGAATGCCGAATTCTGTCACTGAACAGCAGGTTTTCGTGACGATGGGGTCCGTCTCGTCCGTTGTTCACGGTGATAGTGTCCATACACAGTTGGACATAGCATTTTGCGATTCAACTTGTTTTCTTTTCTTCAGGAAGGTGTATGAAAATTGTGAGTGAGCGCGACTGATGAGGGGGTTATGGTGGTTATCAAACAAATTTTAAACAGGGTAAGAGATAAAGTTGGGCAGTGAAAGAACTGTTATTAATCTCATTGTGTCGGTTCTTTTCAATTACTTGGTAACTGAAATGATGATACCACTAATAAGCGTGTGGGAAAATCCAAGGAATTTTAATTTTGACGCTGGTACACCGCGAAATACTATTTCATACGCGTATACCCGGCCAGCCAATGGGGACATTTCCAGTTGGGGTCAAATTCTATCAGCCACATTATAGTGACAGTGGCTGAATGCACGCAATGTTTTATGGAAAATCATGATTCCCGGTCGATTTTCTGGAAACGCGATCAAGGCTTTACCGTAAGAGTCAGCTGTCGGAGTTCATTCCCGGATTGCCGGTTAAGACTTTTCATTGGAAAAAATGACACTTTATGCCACGAAAGAGCTCATCCGTGGGTTTGATGTCTGAAGGCCATCTTGCTGCTACGCAGGTCACACCAATTGTACATGAGTCCATCAGGTACGCCGAGAACTGACTGCTCGTCATAACCGATTATCACACCTTTCCACTAGTTATTTCAGATGCTGTGGCTTCTAACCCACGCATCAACATGACTAATATGAGAGGCTGTTTTTCAAGATCCTAATTTCCCTTTTCTGAACTGTAGGTGCAGTGCACATTGTAACAATTGCTGTACCTTTCGTCGAACTTCACGTTTAGTCTCGACGTTATACGGATATGACATCGGTCTAGGCCAAAATGTAACGAACCACACTGAATGACCGATATTTTTCTCAGCTGTTTCCTAGTTCCAGCTCCGTCAACTTTAGTCATCTATCTCGCGTCTATTTTGATAAATGACACGTTCATGGACTCAATCACGATGCATGACCTGAGTGATCTGCATTTGCTTATCTTGTACAAAGCAACTATTGTTCAACGTGGTACAACCACACATCGTCCACCACATCTAGGGCGTGACTGACCTATGTGGCGAGCTATGGAGTGTATCATTATCAAACGGAATTCGATCAACCTGGATGACTTGTTTACGGGGACTTTGTGGAAAAAACAGGGTCAGGCTGATGGCATTTCGCGTTCCATAGACAAAACTATGACTGTTCAGGGACATACATGCCGTGACTCCCATGCCATTGGTCGAGATTCGAACACCGAGTAGCTCACAGGTTTTGCATAATTGATTATCAACTGTTAACCTGTTTATCCCGATTACTGCTCTTTGTATATAAACGCAGAAGAATCCATAATTTAATTGCGCTAATGAAACCATGGACTCAGAAAAACGCCAATTTGAAAACCGGGTCTGATAAAAATTAATGAGTGGTCAGTGGTCAGTGCCAACGACCGAATACATCACAACTCCGGTGATTGATTATGCACATGCAGTTCGTTGATTATTCAAATTTCAGTTTCTTTGTTTGTACAACCACTAACCATGCACTATCGTGCGCCGGATTTGGTTGCTATCTTTCGGCTGCCCATTTGGATGAACATTAGGAGAAAGACAGGAAAGGTTGAAAGTAGGATCGAAGGGAAAATTGAAAACATGCACGAAAGCCACTGTTTGCGACACCCAGCCATATCAATCAGTGTCCCTAACAATCGGGTACGACCATCTCGAGGTCCCCATCCAGAGAGACTAACGGGACCTATGTGTGACCCAGACTCCTGGATAGGACTCTCATACCCTCATGCCAGGTCTTGGCTTGACCACCCTCGGCTTTCCTCCACCCACTACCTGTCTCGGCAAACATCGCTCATCGTGGCAACCTATCTGGTGACATGCGTAACACATGACCCAACCAACGTAATCTATGGAGGATGACCACCTGCTCCAGTGGGCGACTGCGGTTGCCTAAAACTTTGCGCCTGACCTCAGCATTGCTCGTCTGGCTGACCCACCAGACTCGTGCAATGTTGCGTAGACAACGATGTTCAAACACCGACAGTCTATCTTTGTCCAGTTTTCTTAATGGCCAAGTTTCTGCTTCATATAGAACTGGCCGAACTGCTTCAGCATACACTCGACCCTTCATAGACAGACGGCGACGGCGCCACAGATGTTTCAAGTTGGCAAATGATAAAGTGAGCCTTCCGTATGCGAGCAGATAGTTCATCCGTGATGCGTCCACCGGGTGAGATATAGCTCCCCAGATGACGAAACTTACCCACCTGCTCTAATACTTCCCCAGTTAGAGTGAGGTCGGGTGCTGGACCAACCCGATCTTGTAGTAGCACTTTACACTTAGAAAATGCAAAACGCATACCAAACATGGCTACACTAGCACTCAAACTTACAACTTACCTGGACCTTCACTCAGTAGTGTGCATACTCTAGATCAGACAATCTGCCACCTGGGAGTAAATCGGTGCCACTATCCACGCACGAGGATAGGACTGTTTCCATAATCAGATCTATCACGAAGTTAAATAGAAATGGAGAGACAGAGCAACCCTGTCGAACAACACTTTCTGTGGTGAACTCGGGCGAAAGCGTGCTGTAAGCTCGGACTCGGATTCGGCTATGAGTATAGAGGGATCGTAATGTTGAAATAAACTTCTCGAGCACACCTTTCAGGGAAAGGCAGCGCCAGAGTTTAGAGCGGTCGACTGAGTCGAAAGCCGCTTTTAGATAGAGGAAGATAGAAATGGTGGGTCTAAGAAAGTAGTGTCTATGTTCTAGGATTTGACGAAATGTGAAGATGTGGTCAATGCAGCTTCGATCAGATCTGAAACCAGCCTGGTTCCCACGCGTGAACTCTTCACGAGCGCCAGACAATCAACGGAGTATGATCCCGGCGAGAAGTTAAGAAGCAATGTTGATTAAACTAATTCCTCTGTCGTTTTTACAAGAGGACCTGTCGCCCTTCTTGTAAATCGGCATGATGACCGATTCACACCATTCAGTTGGAACCTGTTCTTTTACCCACACTGAGCCCAGGAGTTTTGTTAACTCCAAAACCAAGACTACACCTCCATCCTTAAAAACGGATGGAGAGATTGTTCAAAGATAAAGTGAACAGTAATTGTCATGGTTTGCCGCACAAAAACAAACCCTAATATTCCTTACAATTGTCGGTCAGCAAAAAATAAATAAACAAATGGTACTACGGTCTAATCAAAATAAGCCGGTGCCACAGATGTATTCAAACGATCAAAGTAAACACCCCTAGGGCTGATCTTTATCGGACCAACGTTTATTGCGGGCTAAAAGGATTTTA